GCCCTGAAATGCTACGCGCACGATTAAAGATAAAGAATTTTATCTTGCGGACAAAGCTTGTATTTTATAAATATTTATTTAATCTAGACTCTTATAAATACAAATAAATAATAGTAATCGGCGTGTAATTATATTTCTAAGATAAACAATTTATTTTTTCAAAATATATGTGTGTCAGTGAAACATCTAACTTTGGCCATAATTTACACTTCTCGTATTTAATTGATTTATAAATATTTTGTCGTTAAAAATGTGAAATGTATACACATTTTTTTACATTAGTTAAGAGTAACCTATTTTCTTGTATGTAAATTTTATAAGGAAATAGGTCAATTTACGTACACAAGGAAATATAATAACAATACGTATTATTCAACATCAATAGTGTTCTAGGGTTAAATCGTATGATTCAAGCGGCATTACAATCCCTTCGAGTTATAGCGAGTGCACATAAGCTAAAAGCTTTCCTCGGTACGTTCTTTTGTCAAGATTATTGTCGTTCAACAGAAAGCAGACGTACTGCTTTCTATAGATAATACCGACGCCTGCAGATAATCCCGTTCTCCCCGTCATTCGAAAAGCATGAAAGTGTATTGAAGATTTACTTGTCTCGAGTACTTTTGTGTCTTTACACGCGAGATCGTGTTATATTTATTCTGTGTATCCGGGATCACATTCATGCTTCTTCAAGATAAGTTCAACAATTGAAGCGTTGAAGACGTGAATGGACTGAATCCAGTTTCTAGGAAAGAGAGACTTGAACCAAGTAGAATAAGACTCTGCGTACAATGGAGGAAATATTAGGAATAAGAACAAATATTAAGATTTTAACTAACAAGTTTTCACGACTCGATTTACGGCGGTTATAAAATCGATGTTGTGAAACTAGCCAATCATATAGCTATTCCTCTGAAGAATGGAATGATTGTGATTATAGCCAATTTCATAACATCTGTTACAACTTTGGCGTAAATCGAGCCGTGTAAACGTAGTCATAAACTGATATTCATATATAGTCAGTTCTTATATTCAAGATTATTTTAAGTTCAGCCTTGAGGTATCACGAACCAATCTTTTATCGTATTAAGACATTACTTAAGACTAGAGACCCTTTAAGAGACCCTTTCAGAGACTGGCCATCAGGATTTCGTCAAATTTCTTCGAGTGAGAAAGGAGTATAAGCTATCTCACTCTTCCACCAATAGCGGTGTGTATACATCATGCATACACATCGCTATTGGTGGAGGAGTGAGATAGCTTATACTCCTTTCTCGCTCGAAGAAATTTGACGAAATCCTGATGTCCAGTCTCTGCTTAAGGCCCAGTTCCACAACTCACGGTTAACTCTTAACCGAGGTTCAACTTATTCATTATCTCTTTTCAATTCTAGAATTGGAAAAAAATGAGAAATAAGTTGAACCTCGGTTAAGAGTTAACCGTGAATTGTGAAACCGGGCCTAAGGGTCTCTACTTAAGACGACGGTCTTGAAATAAGAACAGACTATGAATACCAGCCATAGACTATCTATATGAAAAAATTTTCCGCTATCACCGCACATTAGTTAAACTTATTTTTTTTTATTATACACAACGACTTTAAGTTTGTTTTACTCTGAATTAAGCCTTTTCTACAATGTGCTGTTTGTTTCCTGTTTCTTGTTTTTTATTTCTTGCTTTTTCCTCTTTTTGTTTTATCGACAATTGCATTTCTTGCTACGTGTTTCCTGTTTCTTCTAAAGTTTGTTAACTTTTATCTCGGGCGACATAAAACAAAAAACCGGATAAGAAGCAAAAAGACAAGATGTAAAAAAATAGCAAAAAGCAGAAAACAAAAAGCACATTGTAGAATAGACTTTAGCGTCGTGTGATTCAGCGCTTTTAGCGTTTCGATCTAACGGGATACGAGACGCAACTGATCGCATCTTGCAATAACGAATGGATGTTTAAATTGTGAGATAATAATCCTATGTAACAGTTACTTATAACTGCCACTGTGTAAAAACAGTTTTAATATAAATGCAAACGACTGTGATTTTTTTCGCCAGAAAACTCACGGCGATACGAATGGCTTCGTCATACTCGTGCGATAATCGGACGCGGTTTTTTTTTTTCGGTACAGCTGCAATAACGGACGATGGTGATAAATCCATTCTCGCGGCTATGCATGCGGATCTAGACGCGCGTTGCAATACCGAAGGAAACCCCGTACATACATCAAAGTCTTTGATTTTCCGCGGCTGCCGAATCGCTCCGCGAAATCTGAATTTTTATACGAAGGTAAAAGTGAAAGAGGGTAAAATCACCCTGTCAAAGGCAAGCATATTCGTTCTAGCGGGGCCAGAGTGATTTATATTGAAATAACACCGTCAGGTAAACGAACAGATTGACGGATAAGCCGGCGAGTATGTGTACGTGCGCGTATTTTGGCGTATGTGGTGTGTGTGTGTGTGTGTATGTGTGTGTGTATGTGTGTGGTGTGTATATGTGTGTGTGTATATATATTTCATCCTTGAGAGATGTATACGAAGGCTATATCCTGGCGTAAGAGTAGCTTGGCAATGTTCGAGCTCGCTGAAATAGCTCCAGGATTGCCTTGAGAGGATCATCCTTATTTGAAAGTTGAATGAAAATCTCATCGTCTTCGGCACATGCTTCTCTCCCGGAAGATGACCCGAGATCTTATAGTTCCTGGCATTGATAAGACGCAATCGAGCCCGGACTGAAAACGGATTTAAAGTGGATCTAAAGTGACATATGTACTTAGAGATACGAGATTCCGATTTATTTCAAAGATCTGGTGAAATCACGACTGGGTTCTCGAGCCAAAGAAGATAAAATACACAACCGTGTGTGTATATACACAGAGTAATTCGATTCCAAGCTTCACCTTTATATATTATATATATGAAAAAAGATTTAACTGAATTTTAACGAAATAATACATTTCCTTTCTACATTAATTTGTTTAATAATAAATGATTATTAGGACCATATAATATATATGTGAAATTAATTTTTCGGACATAGGGTATTCATAGTCCGTTCTTATTTCAAGATCGTCTTAAGTAATGTCTTAAGACGCTAATATGGTTCTCTGATTGATTTGTAACTTCTTAAGACTGTCCGAGAAAAAATATTTTATACATAATTATATAAAATTATATAAAAATATATATAATTTTATATAATTATATATAAAATATTTTTTTCCGGGTGTACTTAAGACGGTCCTGAAGATCTGACTATGAATACCGCCCATAGAAATGCAACCCAACTACTATAGTAATATCACAAATTAAATTAACAAGCAATTTAATAATTTGATGCTCAATTGGCATCATTTTAAAGAGACCTTAATATAGATATTGAAAATCTATAAATTTAATTGCGAAAAATGTTGCCTCAGCCGAGAGTCCAACTCGGATCTTAATCTATTAATTCATTTATATATTAGATAGTTTGTAACAGAAAATAATACAATATATATTATGCTCTTTTCGTATTCTACTCGGATGATTGCACAAGGGCGAAACTAATTTCAAGACGCGTTTCTTCAGATGTCGAAACTCTCTAGCTCTTGACTTGCGAATAATGGCATTCCTATTGCATGTAAATTTCCCTCTTGCAAACGCGTGAGTATGTGCAGGGTGACGACGGGGGTAGGTGCACCCCCATGCACACGGACATCGAATGCGGCGAACTGGCACGACTGGCAGATACAACCTGGCTGTTAGTTTAGCTCAGTTTAATTTAGTTTAGTTTAGTTTAGTCAATAGTTCAGCCGTTATTGTACCCCGACGTGGCAGCGAGCGTCGGAGGACCACCCTCTTCATTTGCATACCGGGTGTGCCCGCGTAAATACTCGACTCGGGAAAAGTCTGCTCTTGGCACATCAAAGGGACGTGGCGCGAATTAACCCGTGCGTTACTATCCCGCCCGCAAACAGAACCGGCGAAATATCGGCTTTGAACGGCGGCGTTATTGTTGCGCATTGAACGCGCCGCGCCGCCGGGAGAGACGAGAGCGCGCCTTGCCGCGTGGCGATAAAGCGCGCCTGTTGTCGCGGCCGTTGGAAAGTTTTGTGAATCTCTTGGCACAAAGGACAATTAACATTCCCAATTAAATAGAATGAATTTAATTTAGATAGTCGCCTGTAGTAGGACGTATATATGTTTGCAAGTATTTGATACTTCCAGCTATTAAAATGCCTTTTTATTCGCTTAATTGATAATATATTACATAACACGATAATATACAAGCGTCGCTTAGCAATTCACCTCGTCGGTGTTTACAAAGAATCACATATAAAATAATTTATTCTGCGCAATTTTATGTATATATAATATTATATTCGCGTGTATACATGTATGTATATTCAATAAAAGGCTTGTCCTTTTTAGCTAAGTTCTTGCACGGTTCAGCTTTCTTATTTTTCTCTCGTTGGAGAAGAAAGAAAAAAGAACAATTCATGTAAAAAGAACAAGCCTATAGTTTCATTCGGCTTGGTTTCACCAATGGTTAACTTTAATCTAAGTTCAATTTACTTTTATCTTTTTTTATTTGATTCTAAGAATTAGAATAAGTTAAACTAAGTTAAACAGAGATTAAAGTTAATCTTACATTAGTAGAACCAGGCCTTAGCAGTAAAATAGATGCAAGGATCTTAAATACTACGAATCTTACACGTGACTCAAGGAACAATGTAAAATGACATAAAACAGTAAATTATTACTTATCAAAAGAAAATGTAATTGCAAATACTACAAATATCACAACTGAATTAACTAGTACTATCTATAATAGGAAAAAAACCTCGAGCATTCTTCAATCCACATTTTACGATAAAAACTAATTAGTAGTAACAATTTGTACAAATAATTATTTTATATTTTATCTAAATAATAATTTCGTTTAAACAGTTTTATAACTGATATTTACATCAAGGCTTGCATATTATAGATAATATTAGATTAATTCAATTTGACAGAAAATAAAAAGAATTAAGAATTATGAAGTATTTTATTAAAAGCGTTGTAGGATGTCTCTAAATCAAATATTAATTGTCTGACTTGAGTATCCGATAATTCGTCCGAGGCGGACATATTGTCGAGAGTTTGTAACCACTCTGAAACTTTCTCTTTGCCATCAAAGTCACTGGGTAGTATACTGAGACGATTCATGGTGTCCATAAGATCTCTCAAATCCGGATGCAGTTGATCCATGGCTTTGATTTCCAGTCGTAATTTATCCATGAGTGTAATAAACAACGAAACAATGTCGGCAATGCATTTAGAAGTGTTGCCTTTATCGTCTTTAATTGTGATCGGCCTATCCTCCTTGATTCTTTCGAGAGCAGCAGGACAATCTAAACGGAATGCTCTGGTGAAGGAGTCGATTGTTGGAAACTGATCACTCTGTACCTACAACGAGACATGTAAATAGTTAAGAGTTTATATTCTTTCTGCAACATTTCATATTTTAACTTCTTCCTTCTATAATCTAAGTCTTTTTGTCTAAGTTTTTTTTATCGTAGGCTTTCAAAAATGTGGAAAAATTCATGATTACTTTTCTATATTTCTTTTACTTTTCTACTTCTCATGAAAGTTTTCTCGATATTATTTTAGAAAGGGAAAGACCAAACTCTGCTCTTCTTTATTTCGGAAAAATTGAAGAGTGAAATGTTGTAAAAAACGGAGACTTAGATTATAGATGGACAGTTAAATACATTTCTAAATATCATATATACAAAGAGACATTCAGATTTTGTTTTAAGCTCTGAAAGTTTACCTGTTTAAAAGCTGCTCTGTATTGCACTAACAGTTTACTGCACGCTGCTGTGTATTCCTTTGGTGTAACGCAGTCTCTGATGTAAGCCTTTTCCAAATGTTGCAATGTATTTACTACGGCATACAGGTCCGCCTGATTGTCGTGCTTCTCTCTTTCCCGGGCGTTTTTATACAGCTTAACCTCTTCATATAACTCGGGACGATCCTGAGTAATCGACATTATTCCAAAACTGTAAATAAAATCAATATCTCATGATATCTCAATGATACTGAAAAGTTCCTTTTAGGTTAGGTACACGCAGTAAGAAACGAAGCAATTGCCTATTGTTCATAGAGATTTCAGAGATTTACTTTGGCAAAGCAAGTGTCATGTCCATCTGAGACTCATGGAATGATCTCGAACTTTATTAAATTAAATTACAGCAACTCGATGAGATATCTAATGTTGAGCAGTTTAATTCAATAACATGAAACTATCTAAGAATTTTTACATACCTTTATGTAACGAATATCGTTAATTTCCTTTTTATAATAATAATTACTATGAATTGTATTAGAACATCAAGAATAATAAAATCAAAGCACAATAGGCAGCTAAACAGCTTATTACTAAACAACACTTGACATTCTTCACAACAGCAGAACGTTGGCAACTCATATGGAATACAGAGCCATCTGTTGTGAGTTCATAATAGCAATAAAACTCTGAAAGACAGCAGTGATCGACTTTATCTATTGCAAGTTAATTTACAATTTTACTTTTTTTATTAACTTAAAATTTTCTATTTTATGAATATACTGCAGTTTTTCGCAATTAGAGGGATACATTTTAATACAAATAATAATTGTTGATTAAAAAAGTATATATATTAATTTATTACGTATAACAAATATATATCGATATTGCAAATATTAAACATTTCTTGTCGATCTAACATATTATAAAAAATATCGCACTATGTATGACGTATTAATGTATTTGATTAAAAAATGATTGACTATACATATATACAGATTGCACACTTAACTTTTATACTGTATCACTTAATTAGTTAAATTATATAACAAAATTATCACAATTATATGTAACTAATTCAAATTATAGTCAGCAGCACTTGAACTAAAAAGACTGTATATAAAATGCTCTCATCATAAGTGCAACCTGCAAATATATTATATGCAACATATATTATCTTATTGCTAAATATACAAAAAGTGTAAATTAAATTAGAAATTAAATATCTGTTGCATCACATCGGGTTTATCACTGTTAGACTTTCTTGCACAGAACGGCAATTCTCTCTGTTCTTCTATACAAGGACAGTTAAATTCTTTGAGAATTCGTTTTGTACATTCACGCGATTTCCCCGTGTTTTCAATATTAGGTATTTCATAATTATTATTTATATTTATATACATTGCTTCCAAGGTAAGATCATACTTATCTAAAATATTCCAAGGCGGATAAACGTTTATCACAACTTTAGATACCATTTTCAATGTACCGACTATATCACAGACCAGCATAATTGTTATATTCTTGTACAAGACTTCCTTTAATTGAACCTGAGTATTATGTGCTTCTGCCTGTTCGATCTGTACGTTGCTTTGCAGGAGGTTGAAGCGATCCTCGATTAGGATACCTTCTAGAAATTGGTTTTTGAATTGCTTTGTATACTCGTGTACAAGTACACTGATGTACCGTGCTGATGTAACGTCCTGTTCTTTATTCAATCGATAATGCCATATACGAATGTTGGATACTTGCGCATTAATCAGAGAATGCAGTCTCGCAGCCATGCTTCCTCTGAAACGAAAATACAACATCAGAAATCATGTTTATGAGATGTTATTGTCCATAATACAGGTTATTCCAGCAATATTCCAGCAACATTTCAACAAATTCCAATGTTACTACAATATATTGTTGGAATTTGTGGAAACAATACTTCTGTGCGCTATATGAGTTAATACCTACTTTTTAATTTTCCGACGTTTCTTTCCAGAGTCAAGAAGATGTGTGAACATATTCCTGTCAGGAGACTTTCTTGATGGCGTTGTTATCGTGCTAATAATGGCAGTTTGGGTCGATTTACCTGTCTTCTGTGTGATTTTATTTAATGATTGTATCTCAGAGATATTAGTGGAGAGAGGTATACTTTGATTCAACATCATTTCTGCTTTCGAATAAGTTTCATCCAAGTCAAATGGTTGTCCTGAAGGGATCGAATGTTTATCTGCTATTGAAAACTGAGATGTTTTTGCGGTTTCTTGCGTCTCAACATCCTCTATGAAATGGCTCAGATTATTGTTACTGCTAGGTGTGTTTGTTAGTCTATTACATTCTTCATCTTTGCTATCACTGTTTGTACCTATTTTTATTTTTGAATCATTTTTATCAGTCTTATTACTTGAGCTGTCAGCAAAACTCAATCTCTCTTGTGTCGACGGTGATAATGTTTCTATATATCTCTGATATTTCTCTGGACTTTCCCATTCTTCAGTCCAAATAAATGTTTTAGTTTTAGCTTTGGTATCCATATTGTTTTCTAACTTATTCTGGTCAACAGGTATCTCTCTGAGATTATTACAGTAACTATCAGGTTCCGTTATTGACTTTATATTTGAACTTGAAATTTTATGATCATGTAACTTTGAAGATTCTGGCGAAACACTATTCTCTGCTTTATACTGTAGTTTCTTTCTTCTCTTTTTCTTGAAAATACGATGCGAACCTAGGACAGGAGATGTCTCGTCAACAGCTACATTTTTCATACCAGATGGTGTGAGTTGTGTCTTGCCCATAGATTTATTCTCCTTACTCTTTATACATTCATGATTTGGCTTATTATTAGACTGCATTATATAATTTACAGAGTGCCCTGCACTCCCCTGATGGTCTACATTGTCCTGCCTTCTCTCTGAAGCATTTCTGTTTACACAGATCTTTTTGCTAAGTCGTTTCCTGCCATTACCGAGTATCGGCGATGTCTGGAGAGCTGTAGTTGTCGATGTTTCTGAAACGGTAGACGCCTGGGAATCGCATCTGTTGTTCTCGAGAGTCTCGAGCCATTTACGCACGTAATCATTCTTCTCGGTACATGGTATATGAGCCACATTGTCGTCGATTATGACGACGCGATTCGATACGCAGCACTGGTCAACGGGCTTGAGTTCGAGGATAGATTGTCCAAAATTTAAAGATCTTACGTGCCTCGGCTTAACGTTACACACTAATGCACTTCCGCCAGAACAACTGCAGCCTATTTCGTTGTAATTCGACATCGCGAATAAATCAAATAAATCTGATTATTTGTATAACCTGCTGGCGTGAAATGCACAGCCGCGTACATCGCTGAATCAGAGATCGGAATAATGTGTGCGCTAGAGTCGCTGGACGCCGCCATGTCACGTGTTACCGTGGCAACCAGTCTGTATCTTGAAACCGTTGCACCCTGAGGCATGTTCAGATTTTTTGGATGCTTTTCATTTGGCGGCGCAAATTGATATAATATCTTTCTGTTTTTATTACTTATGGAACGCCAAGAAGGATAGAACGATATTTGTGTCGACTTATGTCATTAAATAGAAAGTAACCATTCCCACCCACGTGCTCCCTATACAGAATTTAGAGAATAGGGGTGCGTTCGAAGATACGCTATGAGCGCTATGTATTTTTTATTTTATCCTTATTTTATGTCTAATAAACAGTGAAGATAGAATGGTACAAATAGCGCTAATAGCGTCTCTTTTACTTTCTAAATTCTTTGAAGTGAAATTTCTAAAGAGCGAAAATTGAACCAATTAAAAAAGAGTGGCTTATGTCCGTTTTCACCAATATAGATTAACTTTAATCTCGGTCCAACTTACTCTTTTTCTAGTTCTAAAGATTAGAAAAAGACGAAGAATAAATTGAACTGAGATTAAAGTTAATCTACATTAGTGGAAATGGGCATAAATTTTCAATCTTTAAGAGTGAGATTCACTTTAAAAATTTTAGAGAGTACATATCATTTTGTCATTGTTTAATGTTTGTGATGAACAACAAGAATAAAATTGCTGCATTCAACAGAAAAAATAGTTTACTGTGATACGAATTTTTTAATATGATTACGGTTTAAATATTTAGAGTGTGATTCCATGAGAATAACTAAAGGCAAGATAAATCATATTAAAAAATTTTATAGTAGTTACAAAGTTGGATGCATCCAACGACCTAGGTGGCCTCGGGTGGGAATCTGAACATAGCCCAGGAGGTCGATCGTATATCTTGAAATGAGGTGAAAATTACAAAGTAAGTGAATTACTAGAATATTTATAATTTTATTAGTTAACACCTAGTGAATTATATAGTTTGCAGAGCACAAAAAATTTGCTCACTTTGTAATTTTCATCTTATTTCAAGATATTCAAGCTAGTGTTCTTTATTTTTTGTTCGAAACTCTCACACAAAGGAATAAATTAAGTTTCGCAAAAAAGAAAAACAAGAAGCATCGATCAATCGCAGTCGATTGTTTTCTTTGACTCACAAAGAACATTCTTTGACCAGTTCGATTTTTTTATCATTTGTTTAAATTAAACAATTTGACAGTAAAATATAAAAAATATTCATTTCGCTTAAATTTTTTTCGTGCACTTTACGCCTAAAATCGTAAAATTTTACTTTTTTATAGTACTATATTTTTTATAGTACGAAGAATATAAGATCCACAATTTTTAAGAGAATTAATTTTAAAAAGTTAAATAATGAAAGTTGTATGATCTATTAGGACACAAATAATGAGATAAAATAAATTTTTTTTTAATTGATTTTTTTTATGATCACTATTTCATGATGAGTATTCTTTTAATGAAATTATATAAATTTTTTATGTAACACATGATTCCTCTAATTATTCTGCATATAAAAGTAATCGGATAGAGATATTAATTGAAAAATAGTTTACATTTTTATAATTTAGTTTTGCATATATGTTATAATAGTTTTCAATTTTTAATATTGCAAAATTTTATATTATTAAAAACGAGATTTAAACAAACTTAAAGATAAAAAAGATTTACGTTAATTTAAATAATGAAAAACAATCTCAAAGTGTCCTTAATATTTTAGTCATTATTTAATACTATAAATCTTATAACGAATAGTATTAAAGAGGAAGTTAATTTTCTCTACAAGTCGGATAATACAGAATTAATCAAAAGATACGTATATCAAATTTATCAACGTTACTTAAAGCATTCTATATAATGTATATTGCATATGACAGTTTTATATTCCGTTCTTCACCTTCCCACTTTGACGACGTGCTTAAACATACAAATGCGAGATTTAGTGTGATAATATCCTGTGCTCCGCGGACCTGCCTCAATATAGCATCCGCTGATTTGAGCCCTGATTTGAGCATGCGGATGTGATACTTGGACGACTATCTTACCCCGATACCGAGTGCTCTTATTCAAATGGAACGACAAGGTTCCTTCCGATCTCGTTCGACCGTGATTGAACCCTCACGCTCTCATAGTATTATCTTTGATAAAAGCTTTCAGGCAGAAAAGTATCTAGAAAGCAATAAAATTTTTTTCTGCCGTTATATTGAATACAAAAGTACTACTAATAGTATTTTTAATACATAAGATAAATGTGATTATAATTGGCTAATGCTAGTATTATATTAATAAGGGTTGAGCAGGGATATTCTGTCAGTTTCAAATTTAAAGTGATATGAAAATTCGTAGCAGTAAAGAATTTCTCTTTATAGTAACGTGTATAATTTACATGACAACTGCTTCTTGAGAGCACAAACATGACTTTTAAATGTTCAATATGTCAAAATATGTGTTGTTTAGAAACATTAATCGCGAGAAACAAGAAAGAACCTGGTTTTCCTCTATAAGTAATATCAAGAAAATAAGAATAATAGTTTGCTTATCCTGAAGAAGATATCTGTTAAAATTTATGTACACTAAAAAAACTACTTTTTAATAAATCATTTGTTTGAATAATACCAACTATAAATATTTACTGAATATAAAGATAAATTTATTTAATATAAGAACCATTAATTTCATTATTATTTTTTTTATTGAGAAAATATGTTTATTTACCGTAAATAAGTTTTAATTGGTACTATTTAAATAAATATTTATTAAACTTGAGTATATTTTTTCTCATTGTGCGAATGACCACCAACTTATTCAAGTAATAAATTGTTCCATTAATGTTTCGGTAGTCTTTCCTTGAGCTCTTTTCCCACTTTGTTAAAACTGAACAATACATTACTAGTAGATTTATTTATAAAATTATAGCATATGAATTTTATTATTTTTGCAGAAATAGACAGTTGGGAAGTCAGTAAGTAGAACAGAGAGAAAGAGAGAAAGAGAGAAAGACAGAGGAGGGGCGAGAGAGAAAGAGATCGCGAGAAAGGGTTTAGACCGGTGTGCAAATCTAAATCGGCGAGAGAGCACCGCGCTGTGCTGGCCGCGCGGGCACAATTACCGGGCGGCGAGAGTCGAGGAACCCTATTTTATATATTAATAGTCGAGATAGCCGCCTGTGTGTCACGTTACCGAGAGGGCCACCTCGGTTAGGATGGCGGGAGCCAGGGGAGAGCGGTCTCCGAGGATTGTTGTTGGGAAGTGGAAGAGGTCGGGAAGGGGGAATCGGTCGCGCGGGAGCGAGAGGACTCGAGAGGTTCATACGATCGATCGAGGGAGATCGAGCGATCAGATCCGCGGGACGAACAGAGGGGAGACCTCGAGGGGAGCCTCGAAATGATAGATACGAGGACGGTATAACGCACGGACCCCTTGTATCTCTACATGGTAGCCTCAGTTCCAGTTCGCGATGGAGGCTACTTGCTCCTTCTGGCACTAGGTAGTTGTGTACTCCTTATCAGGGTGTGAGACAAACGGAGCGTGCTCGATAAAGAGGAGGACAGGGTGAGAGAAAAAGAGGCACAAGTCGAGGGGGCAGGGTCAGCGATATAGAGAAAGGAATAGTAGCTAGCAAGGAAAAAGGAGAGAGAGAGAGAGAGAGAGGAGAGGGGACCGAGAGAGTGTCGAAGAAGACATTGCTAGGAAGAAAATGGAGAACTCAAGAGGGGTAACGAAAGAAGATGATCCGTAAAAAAATCGGTAGTAAAGAGATAAAAGATCCAAAGGGGTGCAAGCCCTGAATGAACGACGTTCTAGACCTTTTCCTCGAAGAAGCATCGGGTGCCCTCGATTTGTTCTACACTTCGGGGTACGTTTTCCTACTTCTCCCTCGGTAGTTCGCGTGGGGGATGACGACTTGCGGTAACGGTCCAAGACAAACATCGTGAAGTCGCGTTATTTCGTAGCGAAACGCGCGCAATACACACGTACATGTCGTCATGGCAGAACGGAGGTGACCGGATGCTGGGCGGTGCAGTGATTCGATTGATTCGCTGAAGAGTGTTCGTGGCTTCCACCGAACTTCCGAGTGCCGCGTTAAGTGACTGTACGTGTGCGTGCGTGGGTGCGTGCGTGCGTTTGTGTCTCTCGTTGCATGAACGTACGTACATACGTGCGTGCTTGCGAGCGAGCGAGTGCTGATCGGGGGCTTATACAGTGACGCCTTGGGCGTTCTTGTGTACGTGCGGGTTCGCGAAGGAAGGCGAAACCCGGCTGGTCGCCGAGGTGGTCCACCCAAGTGAGAGCATCGTCATCATCCTCGTCATCAGCCCCATCTACGCGCTGCCGCATTTCAATCAGCGCAGCGTAGAGGAAGCGGCGGCCGGACGCGCGCGCCTCATCGAGCTTTCTTCGATTCTTCGCGGTAGGCCGCTGGGCGTGAGATCGGCATCGGTAAGATCGAACGAGGGATCGATCATTGACGAAAGGCGCCAGGAAGTTTAGCTGTCTCTTTGCAAAGTCACATTTTATGAAGATTTGAAATTGAAACGCTTATTTTAATGCAAATTAACTAAATGTCTTTAATTCTAATTATTATGGAGACAAAGAAAGAAATTGTCATGCTGAATCAAAGTTGATTACTTCAGAATTTGGGATATCTAAATAAATTAATGTAATATGATCAGTAATAATTACAGTTACATTGTTAATTTATTAAACCATTTTTTGTGTGAGAATTGGAACTAATAGATACAATTGATGAGTCTTGTGTAGGTACGTACGAATTGTCTTTGTTAGTTATTGATAGGCAAATCCAGTTACGTTCTAATCGACGTTTGCGATTTGTATGAAACTGTTATGCAGCGTTTTATGAAGACACTGTACATTATCTTTATCAGGGAATGCTTAAATGTCAAGGAATTATTAGATTTTTCTCTTCATGATATGATCTGCATTTTGTGACGTGTTCGATTAATTGAC